AAGGCTTGGCTTGTCATGATGAGGGCCAAGCCTAATCTAGGTTGAGTGCCAAGCCCACTCTAGGCCGAGGGCCTTGTTTCAACTACCAAGAGCGCTCACTCTAGGCCGAGGGCCTTGTTTCAACTACCAAGAGCGTGCTTGAGCTAAGCCAATTGGCTGAGAGCTCAGCATGCATTATATTGCTAAAAATGACCCAAGGTAGATGGGTGAAATGGACAGGTCGATAGCAGAGCCAAGGATAGCGACCCTGAGAGTCTTGGGTATGCCTAGCTTTTGAGTTGATCACAAACCCAAGAGATTTTTGTTTATCATCTTATTGAAATATGATGAATGCAATGCCGACTTAGCTTGATGATTATTTCTAACTTTAGAATTTTGTTGATGTTGTAGGAACTTGTCCCCGGGGTGCGCTCGACTTGTATTGAAGAGATCTTCCGGCCTTGATGTTTTAACATTTAACTCTCTTGTGATGTATTTATATATGTTGATTTGTACTTGGCATCATACCTTCTATGTATCAGAATTTTATTCTAACTTTATAATATATTCATGTCCCTCCGCTTGACATTTCTCTTTTGTTGGCTTACGATTACTCCTCTTAATGATTCTTCATGAATAGTTTTGAAGTACTGGAGGGGCTAAAAGCCCCGAGTAACATTTTAGTGAGGGTCGGGCACTCTTCTTTCACAAATATTATGATTGTTAAGTGTCAAATGAGCTCCATGTTGATATGAGAGTTGAGCAGAATGCTATCTTAAATCTTGAGATAAGCTGAGGGCTAAACGAGCCCCAAGTTAAAAATAATAAATGTACGATACGCTATTTTCAACATTGAGATAGACTAAGGGCTGAAGAAAGCCTCTTGATGAAAATTGATGAGAGGATATTACAACCATTAGGATAGGCTGAGGGCTAAACGAGCCCTATGTTATTGTTATAGGAGAGGTACGTTATCCCAAATCTCGAGATAGGTTGAGGGTTAAACGAGCCCCTTGTTATAGATGAATGAGAGGTAGGCCATCTAAACTTCTTAGGATGAGCTGAGGGCTAAGTGAGCCCCAAAGTAAAAGATGTATGAAAGTTGGGCTGTCCCATCTTTTGGGATAGGTTGAGGGCTAAACGAGCCTTTTGTTATTTTAGCGATATGCTAGAACACTATCTCAAAAAATGAGTATAGGCTAGCATCTTGCCCCAAACATTTAAACAAACTTGTTATTGGTAACATTAGTTAGCGACCCCGGATGTCCTGTATGTATGGAGGCCCGGTGCTTTTTGAGAAGATGATGGATTCCCAAGCTTTTAGAGCTTTAGGCGGCTATGTAGGTAACCAACCCGAAAAATGAAAATGATGCGCTATCAAAAGAAAGATCTCTTAGTATCAGCTCTTATTGCCCCTAGGGCATCATTGTCATTTGAGAAGTTGCTCTGACACAACCTCATCTTAAGTCGGCATTCCAAGCATATCAGTTGCCGGCTCCACCTTGTAAACTTTCACGATTGATAAAGAGGGAGAGCTGAGGGCCTTGCCATTTGAAACTTGTGAGCGAAAGACCCTCGAGTGAGTGATCTCCTTGATCTTGTAAGGTTTATCTTCAAGAGGGGTGTTTTCATCTTAGTATAGCCCTCAGCTAGGCATGCCAAGGGGTTGGCAGAAGTTTAGCCCTCGGTTAGGCATGCCGAGGGGTTGATAAAAGCATACCCTCGGCTAGATATGCCGAAGGGTTGATAGTAGCATAGCCCTCGGCTAGGCATACTAAGGAGTTGATAGAAGCATAGCCCTCAGCTAGGCATGCCGAGGAGTTGATAGAAGCATAGCCCTTGGCTAGGCATGCCGAGAGGTTGAGAGAAGCATAGCCCTCGGCTAGGCATGCCGAGGGGTTGATAGAAGCATAGCCCTTGGCTAGGCATGCCGAGGGGTTGATAGTAGCATAACCCTCGGCTAGGCATGCCGAGGGGTTAATAGTAACATAACCCTCGGCTAGGCATGCCGAGGGGTTGATAGAAGCATAACACTCGGCTAGGCATGACGAAAGGTTGATAGAAGCATAGCCCTCGTCTAGGCATGCCGAGGGGTTGCTAATAGCATAGCCCCCGGGTAGGTATGCCGAGGGGTTGGTAGAAGCATAGCCCTCGGCTAGGCATGACGAGGGGTTAATAGATGCATAGCCCTCGGCTAGGCATGACATGGGGTCGATAGATGCATATCCCTCGGCTAGGCATGACGAGGATTTGATAGATGCATAGCCCTCGGCTATGCATGATGAGGAGTTGATAGATGCATAGCCCTCGGCTAGACATTACGAGGGGTTGATAGATGCATAGCCCTCGGCTAGGCATAAGGAGGGGTTGATAAATGCATATCCCTCGGCTAAGCATCACAAGGAGTTGATAGATGCTTAGCCCTCGGCTAGGCATGACGAGGGGTTGATAGAAGCATAACTCTCAGCTAGGCATGTCGAGGGGTTGATAGTAGCATAGCCCTCGGCTAGGCATGCCGAGAGGTTGATAGAAGCATAGCCCTCGGCTAGGCATGCCAAGGGATTGATAGTAGCATAGCCTTCGGCTAGACATGCCGAGGAGTTGATAGATGCATAGCCCTTGCTTAGGCATGATGAGGGGTTGATAGATGCATATTCCTCGATAGGCATGACGAGGAGTTGATAGATGCATAGCCCTCGGCTAGGCATGAAGAGGGGTTGATAGATGCATGTCTCTCGACTAGGCATGACGAGGGACTGATAGAAGCATATTCCTCTGCTAGGATGACCTAACTCCCGTCGCACTATCGGGGATTGATGTGAATGACGAGCTGAGAGGATTAGAGCTTGTCTAGTTGCATCTTGATATGTTCGGGGATGCCTAGTATTCACCGTAGCTTTTTGTTTGTTATCCCCACAGACGGCGCCACCTGTTTCTAGAAACAGAATACTCCTCGGGATGTTAGGGTAAGGGTATCAAGCTGTCCTGGAATTTAAGTCTGACTTTTGTCCAAACGTCCTTCAGCTCCGCCTAGCCAAGGTATGTCTGTGAGCTCTGCCTATATACCTGAGAGCTAGGCCTGCAAAATAGAGAAGGTTAGCTGCCCCGAGGGTGTGACCCGGGAAAGCCCTGCGATGTTTAAGTCAGCAAGAGTACTTTCTAGAGAGAGAAAGTAGGGAGAGAAAGAGTAATTAGAGAGAGAAAGTAAACAGAGAAGGAGAGAGAATTAGAAAAATCCCCTATCATTAATGAATGATGAGCTATTTATAGATACACTTTTCAGGTGGCAGACTTGTACTTGAGTGTACAAAGTAGGGGCAAATTCGTACTTTGTAATGAGTAATGGTGTACTAGATCATGGAGGGGTATTTTTATCATTTCAGGTCATTGGGCTTAGGACATGGACTAGGCCGAATTGTTGTAGAACATCCAGTAGCTCATGTTCATACAAAAAATGGCCTCGCTAAGTCATTAATCAAGAGACTACAATTAATTGTTAAGCCATTATTAATGAGATCAAAATTGCCTTTGTCTTCTTGGGATCATGCCATAATACATGCAACATCTCTAATTAGATTGAGATCGATAACTTATCATAAGTTCTCACCACTACAGTTAGATTTTGGTCGAGAACCAAGTGTCTCACATCTAAAGATCTTTGGTTGTGCGGTGTATGTTCCTATTACTCCACACCAACGAACAAAGATGGGTCCACAAAGAAGGCTGAAAATTTATGTTGGGTTTAAATCTCCATCCATAATTAATTATCTTGAGCCAATGACCGGTGATTTATTTACGGCTAGATTTACCGACTGTCATTCCAATGAAATAGTATTCCCGGCCGTAGGGGGAGAGAAAGTGGACCTAAGAAAGAAAGAAATAGAAATTATTTGGAATGCAATACAATTGTTAATGTTTGATCCACGAACAAATATATGTGAACAAGAAGTCAAGAAAATTGTCGTTTACAAAGTGTTGCAAATCAGTTGCCTAATGCATTCATAGATACAAAGAAAGTGACAAAATCACATATACCAGTTGAAAATCCCCCTACACGTATTGAAATTCCATGTGGTGATAAGACCATTGAAAATGAATCTCTAGCACGCCGGAAGCGTGGAAGACCACTTGGTTCAAAAGATTCTAAACTAAGAAAACAGAAAAGACCCGATGAGGTTAAAAATATTCCCCTAATGTAAGGTCAGGAAAGACTAGACATAGATGAAATAAAGAAAAAGAAAAAGATGAAAATCCAAAAGGGAGTGAACAAGAGGACCATGACATCGATAATAATGAAATTTCAATGAATTATGTTTCTACCAAGAATCACTGGAATAGAAATGATGTTATCGTAAATGAAATATTTGCATATTCCATTGCAATTAAAATGACATTAGATGAAGATGATATTGAACCAAGAACAGTGGAAGAATGTCGTTGCATGCATGATTGGCCGAAATGGAAAGAAGCATGCAAACAGAGTTAAAGTTAGTTGAAAAACAAGAAGTATTTGGCAAAATAGCCCTCACGCCAGAAGGTGTAAAGCCAGTTGGATACAAATGGATATATATGTGAAAAAACAAAATGAGAAAAATGAAATAGTTAGATACAAGGAAAGACTTGTAGCCCAAGGTTTTTCTCAAATTCCAGGGATTGATTATGAAGAGACATATTCTCCTGTACGTAGTTGATGCAACTATATTAAGATTTCTGGTAAGCTTGACAGTCTTAGAAAGACTAAATATGCGATTGATGGATGTAGTGACCGCATACTTATATGGGTCACTTGATACAAACATTTATATGAAAGTCCTTGACGGACTAAAATTACCAAAAACCACAAGCCTAGACAATCTCACTACTACATTTTCGATCAAATACAACGCCAAAAAATGAGCTATTGCAACGCCCTATCCAAATGCCGTGGCAATAGATAGCCTATTGCAACGGTATTTTTATTGTCGTTGCAATAGAGTAGGCTATTGCCACGGAGTTAAAACTAATGCTCTTAGAGGTAGAGCTATTGCCACGGCTCTAAAGAACCGTTGCAATAGCCTAGATATTTTAACAAAAATGAAAGCTAATGCAACGGAAGTGTTGTATCATGAAAAATTTAGCTGGTTGAAGCACGCATTATTCCCTCTAATTTTTTCACCAAAATTTTGAACAAACACTGTTTAATTTTCTCACCCATTTTCTCCCCTCATTCTCACAGTACCCATTCTCCCCCAATTCTCCATTTTCTCAATCTCCCCCGATTCTCCACTTTCTCAGTTTCCCCATCATCATCTCACATAAATAAGCAAGGTAAACAAAAATTCTGAGGCCGATTTTGAGGTGAAAATCACGAAAAAATCATTCAAAAATTCGAAGAGGAAGGCAACCATCGCCGCAGCCGCAACCACATCCACAACCACCGTCGCTCACAAAATTAAATTCTCTCTTTCTTCTCCCTCCTCATTCAATGGTGGTTACGGTGGTGATGGTGGTCGCGAGTGATAATGACGATGTGGTTCGATTTTTAGGGTTTTGATTGGTGTTCATGGTATGAGCTTCTTTAAACTTTCCTCTTTAAATTTCAAATTTAGGGTTCCTTTGCACAATTTATAGTTCAAAATTTTGATTTTTTTTCGATTTCTAGGGTTTCGATTTGTAACTGTTGGCGGTGGTGGAGAGCAACGATGGTGAGTTTTGATTTGTAATTGATGGCGGTGGTGGAGAGTTTCTGAGCTAACGTCGCTCAAACTCCAGCTTCGTGCCCTGATCTTTGAGTAAGCCTTCTATCTTTATCTCTCTTTTTACCTCTTTCTCGCTACTTTCTCTCCCCTTTCAATTATTGTTCCAATTTCGACAATTATACACTAAAGGCCTCATCTCTGTGAGTCATTTCTGTCTCTACTCATTTATCAAAACAGTGACTTGTTATATGATTGAGTGGTGACTAATATATGTTGAGATATGAGTTATTATGTTACCATGAATATTTATAACTTAGACCAACATGCTTAAATGTTGATTGTAAACTGATTACTGATGTTGCACATTTCACTCAAACTGGATGATACTAAGTGCTAACTAGGGTGTTAAAAAGACATTATTAGAATGGTCCATTTGTTATAACTGAAACTGCTTTTTTAGTCAATTTTGTACTAAGGCATGAAAAAAGTGTAAAAATTAACTGCATTCTTAGGGAATATAGAATAACTGTACTATAAAACATACTAACAGATAGGTGAATAACTTGATATTTTGCAGGTAATTGACAGGTTTCCTTTGTTCCCTTGCATTTTTGAGCTTGTAGGGATTGGTTACAGCGGGGTACTCTCAACACCCATTACTAATTTCTTTCATATGATTACATTGTTATTATTCTACTAAAATCATGTTTAATCGTACTTAAGTGTTTACTAGTAGAAATGCTGGAACTTGGTTGTATGAATTTAAAATCTTGTAATCTGTGTAAGTCTATCAAAGATTATATAGCCATTAGAATGTTCAAAGTTTCCCTTTAATTAATTAACTACAAATTAATGACTTCCCTACTTGCTGATTATTGATTTTTCTTATCCACAATTAATGTACTGGTCTGGACTACATGAATATGTACCGCTTGGGTGAGAATATATCTTGATCTCTATTGTACAGAGCTTCAGATCATCTTTGTATTTCCTCAATTCCCTCTATTTGGCATTATGATTTACATTAATATTGTTTAGGTGTTAGCTAGCATATAGAGCCTAGAAATATTTACATATTCTTATGTGATCATCCTCGCGTTTTAAGCATCTAGCTTAAACAACTAGAGATCTATTAAAGTATTTGCTATTCTACTTCTGATTGAATAGGGAGGCAGTAAAGTAACTTCTGAAAGATGTATGCAGGAAGCAGAAAATTGACTACACTGATTTTTTGACTCCTTTTACAGGTATATAGCTTTCAATATTATTCATGAGCTAATTAGTTCAACGATAAGCACTAACTTAAATTAGGATGATGTAAAATGTTTCCTGAGCACATCAATGATTGGTATATGATTGATGAATAACTACTAACTCTCAAGCACGACAAAGGGAGCCTCAGAACTTTCCAAGAAATGGAAGAGTAATTCTCCCATTTGTGACACACAAATAAACCTATATTTTGTTGAATTGTTTTTCATTTTTCAGTTGAGGTCTTTGTTTAATTTGACTTATTGCTTATTTTTTTTATTTTCCACCCACTATTTTGATTTATTACCTGAATTCATATCTAATTATAGTTCATTTTATAAGCTTTTCGGCTGATATAATTTTTGCTTGAATCCTTGATTATCTTCTTGTTTATCTCTGAATTGCTTACTTATTTTTTTTAAAGGGCTCTATATCACTTACTTAAAATTTGATTTTGTATTCCAAATTTCAAGTATTCATGCTGATGGACATGTTAAAAAATGAAAAAAAATGATGGTTTACAAAAGTGGCCTTGTACTTGAGATTACTTGTGGTGTAAGGTGTATAGTGATATGAATTGTCTTAATGTACTTGTTTGGTTACTTTTTTGTTTAAAATAGTACTATTATATATATGGAACATTGAGGGAAAATAGGGTTTGGGTGTTCTCATATCTCTTTCTCTATATATGTATGCAGAGAATCTGAGTGCTTAGTTTTGGCAAGTAGTTAAGTTGCTTGTGATTTCTTTGGTAAGTTCAGTGCCCTTCTGTGTTATATTAGAAAGTATCTATTCTGGAAGTTTGGTTTTCATTAACTTCCGGTTTCAAATGAAGTAAATTGATTGTTTAAAGTGGTCTGCAGGTTTAGAGTTCTTGAGAGTCAGGTGCTGGTTGAGTTTATATTCACGTAGTAAGTTTTCAGGGTATAAATGTATTGTGTGTTTATGGATAGTGTTGCTCATTGATGTAGGATGTGTGTTTAGCTCTGTATATGGTTGTTGGATTGTGTCTTGTACTGTAGTACTTATCTATATAGTGTTCTTATGCCGTATATGAATTTGTAAATTGGTTTATGTCACCAGAATTTATTTGTCAGTACATAGAGACCTTGCATGTGTGACTTTTGAGTTATTACGTATTTTTTCTATAAGATAGTTGAGTGTAGCTTTTAGAGTTTAGATGAAGTGCATCAGATCAGTGTTGAGATGTTTGGTCCTTTGTGTACTTGCCCTACTTAGTTATTTAACTAGCTTTGTTTTTAAGATTTTGCTACAGCATGAAAAGAAAATGCTAGAAGACTTTTGACATTGCTTAGAATCCATCAGCGGTAAAATAAACTTATTGTGGTCTTTGTGGATACGGCATTTCAGAACTTGGGGAATCAAGGGTGTTAGATTTTTACTCTGTAATTCTGGTTTACATTAGGACAGGGGAATTTGTGTAATATTGATGGTAAGCTTAGCATATCTGGTAATAGTTCCTATTGCAATGAAGCTAGTTGTAATGGTTTCCTTGACGTGATATGTGAGTATAGATTAGGTGGCAGCTGGCTAAAACAGTGATGCTAAGCCATTGTATATGCAATTTTGTTAAGTCCTGGTCTAAGCTATTCTTGTGCGGTTGTCCCTTTCTTTTCAATGTTCCATATTATATTCATATTCATTTGTAATTAAAAGAGAAGGCAAAAATAAGGTAAGTGGTCAACATTGTCTCTTGCCTTATATAAAAATGAAGGCTATTATTTGTAATTTTTTGTATTTGAAGAGAGGATAAGATATTGGAATAAGTTTTAGCACTTAAAAGTGATTAATCTTACAAAGTGTTATATGCCCTACAATATCCCTTATACATTGCAAATTCTGGTTTTGTTGCCTAGTTTCTGTTGTGTCTTGTTCTGGTTTTGGCTGGTTACTGCTGCTGTTGTTCCTTTTACTACTGCTGTTCTGCACTGTCAGCTGTTGCTGTTTTGTTCTGTCAGCTGCTGTGCTGCTTTCTGCCTGGTTCTGGCTGCTGCTGCTGTTCTGCTAAGCTTGTTGCTGTTGGGACAGCTTGCTGTGTTGCTGGTCTCTACTGCTGCTGTTCACCTGCTGATGTTGGTCGCTTGCCTCTCAAAGATTGTAGTCGTTGTAGTTTTCTCAATTAATTTAATTAGTGAAATTTGATTTTGTAACTTTTCCTTTTAAGGGCAATAATGTACGTATTTCGCATTATAATTATTATATATAAATGATACTTTAATTTGTTTCTGTTAGCATATTTTAATTTGTACTGACTAATTATACATATATTATATTATCATCCCATCCCAACAAAAAAAAAATAAAAAAAATGATCAATCCGTTGCAGTAGATACGTACTCCTATCATTGTATTAATCAGCTTCATCCGTTGCAATAGGATCAATTTCATCATAATTATTAGTCAGTACTCTATTGCCACGGATAAGTTATGCCGTTGCAACAGGTATTGGTCTATTGCCACGGATCATTGGTGCCGTGGCATTAGGTGTCATATGCCGTTGCATTAGACCTACTGCAACGCCAGCAGATGCCACGGTGCATGGTCGTTGCATTAGGCCTAATGCCACGGATTTTGACGCCTAATGCAACGGATTTGGGGGTTGCAATAGATCAGAAATGTAGTAGTGTCTCTTTCCATAAAATTAAAAAGGTCACTTTATGGATTGAAACAATTTGGAAGGATGTGGTATAATCGTTTTAGTTAATACCTTATGAAAGAAGGTCTCAAAAATAATCAAATCAGTCCTTGTGTTTTCAATAAGAGATCACAATTAGGATTTGCAATTATTGCAGTTTATGTTGATGACTTGAATATTATCAGAACTCCAAATGAACTTGAAGAACTGCAAAATACTTGATGAAAGAATTTGAGATGAAAGACCTTGGACAAACTAAATCTTGTCTTAGGTTGCAAATTAAGCACCTCAGTAATGGTATTTTTGTCCACCAGTCTAGCTAACTACACTAAAAGAGTATTAAAACGTTTTTTCATGGACAAAGCGCACCCAATAAACACCCCGATGGTTGTTCGATCTTTAAACATGAAAAATGATCCATTTAGACCTCAAGAAGAAAACGAGGAAGTTCTTGGTCATGAAGTACCATATCTAAGTGCAATTGGCGCTTGAATGTATTTAGCTAACAATACTAGACCCAACATAGCTTTTTCTGTGAACTTGTTAGCCGGGTGTAGCAACTCACCAACGTAGAGACATTGGAAAGGAATAAGACACTTATTTGGATGCTTACGAGGAACGCAAGATCTTGGTTTGTTCTATCAATTAAGACAGGATGCCACTCTCATCGAATATGCAAATACTTAAAACCTATCAGACCCACAAAATCCCAACTCACAATCTGGATATTTGTTTACTTATGGTGGCACTACAATATCTTGGAAATCAACAAAGCAAACTTTGACCGCAACATCATCAAATCATGCCGAGTTGATCGCCCTTTATGAAGAAGGACGCGAATGTGTATGTCTAAGATCAATGATTGGCAACATCCAAGAAGAATGTAGGATAAAAGGAGTAGCTGAAAATCCAACCATTATTTACGAAGACAATACTGCATGCATCTCACAAGTACTCGAAGGATACATCAAAGGAGATAGGATTATACACTTATCCCTGAAATTGTTCTTTACACACAATTTGCAGAAGGAAGGGAAGATAAATGTCTAACAAATTCAATCATGTGAAAATCTTGCAGACTTGTTTATAAAGTCCCTTCCTTCGAAGAGATTTAAATAATTAGTCCACAAGATTGAGATGCAGCGTCTTCGTAAGCTACGTTAAGGAGTATTATCTGCACTATACTCTTTTTCCTTCGATTAGATTTTTTATCCATTGGGTTTTTCTTGACAAAGTTTTTATGAGGCAGTACACCAAAGCATATAACAAATATTGTTGTACTCTTTTCCCTTAGCTATGGTTTTTATCCCAATGGGTTTTACCTAGCAAGGTTTCAATGAGACAACTAATACCCCATTATTGTATGGACATTTAAGGGGGAGTGTTAAGAATTCGGTTAATATGGACATGTAATGTAAATGCCCATACATTTTCTTCTCTGTAATTAAAGCTTAGCCAACCTCCTTGCCACCGCCTAAGTTAGTAGCCCACAATGTAATAGTAAATTACCATACTATAAATAGCCATGCAAATTCATTTGTATGATGTATACAAAAAATCACATAAGAGTAATAGCTCGCAAGTAGTAATTCTCTACATCTAATATTACTCTTACCTTCTCTTAATTTCCTATATACTCCCTCCGTTTCATAATTAGAAGCCTGTTTTCTTTTTTTGGGTATTCAAAATTAGAAGCCTATTACTATTTATAGATAGTACTTTTGGCAATAATACCCTCTTTTTTATGATGTGTCATACTTTTTCTTTTTCTTTTTGTACTTTTGACATCAATTTCCAACACTTTCTCTCTCTATCTCTTCAATAATTCTCAACCACTTTTTTTCTTTCTCTCTATCTCTCTCTAACCCCACATGAATTTGTAACCAACTTCCTTAATTCCCATGAAAAATGGAAAATAGGCTTCTAATTATGAAACGGAGGGAGTATTTCATAATAATTTTATAAAAATTCTATATTCGCAAATAACTTAAAAATTCGAGCATTTGCTCAAGCATTATCTATTATAATTATAATGGACCTTATAAAGATCAGCCCCATTCATTTACTAGATCGATTTGACCCATTTATAATTGGGGTGGGGTTCCAACCCATTGAATTGTCCTAAATGTCAATATAAGAAGAAAAAAAAAACAAAAATTGAAGGATAAACGAAGCCTACCCCTCTCCTCCTCTTGCTCTTCTCTCTATTTCAGTTCTCCATTGAAGCGCAGTCAACGTTTGAGGTGCCTTCTAATACTTGTATCCCCCATTGAAGCAGCGGCGGTAAGTTGTTGTTTCTTTTTGTAATCATCATATCAATTTCACAATCTACGGTTTATATTTGATCTAATTTAACTTAATTGTCAGTGCAGTAAGTTTAGGGTTCGAATATTGTTTCTAATTACTAAGATTGTTGAAGATTGTAACCAGCGATTATGTTGCTAGAAAAGAAAATTATGAGCCTAATATGATAATTAAATAAAACATCCCTATAATTATGTGATTTTTCCAGCCTTATTTCATAATTAAATCAAATTTGGTTGCTAATGTATTGCAGAACCCTTTAATGTTAGCAGTGGCGAACTCACGTGTAGTCATAGTGGGTCCCAAGATAACCTATTATTTTGTTTAAAAAAAATAAAATAAAATAAAAATTTCACGAATCCCGCGGTACTCCTTCCTTTCTCTGTACTCCTTTATCTATTTCTCGTTGTACTCCTTCCTCTCTCTCTCCTCCATTTAAGCGTACTCGAAATTCTCCATTGAAGGGGCTTTTGAGCTTTCTCTCCTTCATTGAAGCAGTCTCTAAGGTTAGATGCTTCTTTTTCTTTAATCATCTAATATTAATTTTTACAATCTAGTGTTAATCGTGTATTTAATTGTCAGTATATACTCAATTTAGGGTTCTTCGAAGTTGGATAATTGAACTATTGGTTATAGATAGTCGAAGAATTTAACGTAATTTTTGGAGTCTAGTTTGATAATTGAGTCAATTTTGGTTGCTAATTTGTGAATTGTAGTTTATTTATTTTATTTTATAGGAAAAACACAAATTCACAAATTCCGGGGGTGGGGGAATGGTTTCAGGGGTAGGGGTTTCGAGTCTACGACGGTTTCGGGTCAGGAAAAGGGATGGGAGTTTAGGGCTCGGGTGGGGAATTCAAGTGTATTGCGCTCATGTGGCTCTAGAAGGAGGGTGGTTTCGGTGATGGTGCAGGCAGAGGCGGACCCACATGTAGTGGCCATTTATCTAGCCTAACAGGGCGAAGCTAGGAATTGTGAAAATGTTTGATGAGTAAGATTTAGTGGCCTAATCTTTAATCTAGCCTAGCAGAGTGAAGCAGGGGCCAGAAACATACCCAATTAAGACTTGAATATTATGTAGCTCTTAATTGAGATAGTTGCAGGTGTGCTTTTGCTTGGAGTCTTATTGTAGAAGAAGCTCGATCAGAACCTAGCTTTATTTATGGTTAGAAGTTTCTAGTCTCTAATTGGATATGTAGGAGGGCAATGTTTACTTTAGCCCTGTACGATTACCTGAGATAAAATAACTTAATGTTTATTTTCTGGTTTAAGTTGAGATGAACGCTCTAGAGATTTGAAGATATTAAGAAATAGAGTGGCATTTGTGTGAGGCCATGGGCAAGATATTAAGAAATAGAGTGGCATTTGTGTGAGGCCATGGGCACTAAGAAAGGCAAATTAATAACAATGTAGTGCCCGTTGAGTTCCTACTTTTGAGAAACTCATTATCATTGACTCATTTCTAGAGCATCCTTTATTACTTAGATTGGATTATTTTTTGAGGTTTTGATTGTATGTTGACATGAAGTATAGCTTTGCTGAATTGAGCTTCCTAATTAAATTATGAGCAGTCCTAGCATAAGATGTGTGTAAAGGGGTTATTTTTATAGTTTAATGGGTAGTTGATCAAGGATTGGTGACTGTTGATGATTGAATAGGGCCAATAGGGGTGAACTTTGTCGTGGTAGCATTGTTCAATGACTATGCACAATTCTCCTGTGACTGTATGGGAGTGTCTTATAGAGTTCATTTAAATTACTTTAGTTCAAATGGTAATGCTTGCCATCCATAGAAAATGATGTTTATAGATATGAATGCTTCTGACTTTCTGAGCTTTGAGGTAGAATTGAGCTTTGAGGTAGAATATTTGCTGGTAACTTGGAGTTTTAAAGCACAAGATTTGTTTGAACAAACATTAACTAATTGTCATGAGACCATGTATACCGGACAAGGGAAGTAGATTTGCATTGACATAGACCCCGAAATAGGTGTATTCAAGTTTGTGTTGATTGTTGAACATTTTGGTTGAGATATTTCGGGAATTTGGTTTAAAGTTCAGGTTTTGTATAGTACAAGGTCGAAGGACGATGATACAAGCTTTGACTATTTTTTGATATTATATGCAGTCGATGGACGATGATGGGACAATCTATTAATCAAATCCTGGATCCGCTACTGAATGTTAGGATTGAACTATGTAATTAGACCTCTTCTACCTTAGCCCAACCCTGGGCTCAGGGATGGGCTTGGATGTGTTGGTTGTGAAACGAAGTTTCTTGTATAAGTTTAGAGTTTTCTAGCATGATGAATCTTATTAAATTAGCTTCATATATTTGAATTTTGCAATTTTTCAATATCTAAGAACCTTATTGTTAATACTCTACATTTTAATTGGTTATTAGGAGGACTAAGCAAAACTAAATTTGATCCGTTGAAATATGATGGCTATTCTACTCACCTCTAGTTCGGGCAGTGTC